CTTTTTCCTACACATTCTAAAATTATCTCAAATTAATTTCTTTGACTTCAGTTTTAATTTCTAGGGTATTTTCTAAATCTGTATTTACTTTTATATCCTGTTCTTTCATTATTTTAATTTCATTTCTCAGAGGATGTTAGTGATAGTTTTCTTATTTTAGAATTACTCTCACAATCTCTGTTTTCACCAAGTTGCTGTTTTCCATTTATTTTAGTTTGCGTTTTTCAGTTTCGAGGCTATCCCCAAACATGTGTAGCTCCTTGATGCTGTGTTCATAGGATTGAGAGGAGTAAGAATTCTGATTCCTCTGGTGGGATTATTGACTCTGAGTTCCAATTTGGGAGCTGCCTAAGATGCAGCGTTCCCTCTTAGGCTTGTCAGATTCTCCAGAAAAGACTTCTAATCACCAGGGCTGAAATAGTGCATTACACTGTATTATTTTTTTTTTTTTTAAGATTATTTATTTATTTATATAAGCACTGGGTACAGTCAGAAGCGCGGGAGGGTGAGAGAATTCACCAGATCCAGAGCGGGGAGCAAAGCAGGCAGAAGGACTGAAGTACACTGCTGAGGGGAGCAGCAGGCGGCAGGAGAGGTCTGCGCGCCATGTGGGACCCTTCTCCGGTGGCCGGGGAGCAGCCGGGGATCAAACCAGCACTGCAGAGGCTGCGGGCAGCTTCGCAACCTAGCGCTCAACCGCTGCGCCACCGGGGAGGCCCTATACTGTATTATCTTAAAGACATTTTTCTTTTTTACTTTTTTGTCTCCCAGAGGAATATAAAAAGCCAAGATAACAGCTTATTCTTGATCAAGATATATTAAGAAGTCTTTTTTTCTATTTGATTATAATGTTGAATATAGTATTTATTATATATTTGAAATATATGTTGATTGTATTGTTCATATATTATCACATTTATGCAAAATAAAATTTTTGGTAGGGAAAATTTCAAGTCCTTTATCAATGTGTTAATAATATTTAGCAAGATAATCCTACAGGGTAATGTCTGGAGTCAGTGTAGGAATAGCATTGGTCTCAGAGTCAGCAAACTTTAATTCTGGCTTGTCAGTGATTATCTGTGTTAGCAAGTTTCTACATGTTTAAACCTCTTTGAACCTAACTGTAGAGTGAGAATTTTTTGCTTGACTCTTTTCAGCCTTAAAATTCAAAGTTCCTAATTAGTTCTTTATTTCAGGAGGCCACATTGCCTTATCTCACAAGAAAACTTAGTTCTCATTTCCTTTTATTTCAGGTAAGATTCCTGTTCTAAGCAAAGAAAAACTGCCAGTGGTAGGAATTGGAAAGCACCTGTGTGGTGTGGCAACAGGTATGTAAACATAGTAATGGTATGTAGATGAACACATTTTTTAGCCTAATGTGATCCCAACCATTTAAATAGTCTTTTGAGTATCACTTATGTTTTTAACACAGTAATCTTCAGGTAGTACTGGACCTGTGTTATGTATCAGAGATAGAACTTTCCTATCTATCTGCTCATTTTGGCCATTTTCCAGGGTGACTTAAGAGTTTTATGTGTAAATATTATGTTATATGGAAGCTTACAGTTCTTTGGGTTGTATTTCAGCCAACAAGGAAATAAGTCATTTAAAGAAATTGTATGGTTCCACTCCTAAAACTACTGATTTTTTCAGAGCAGTCATTTGGGAAGAAGGCAGAAACCTCTCTCACTCTCAGATAATTGTGTGTCAGATGCTGGGGGAAGGGAAAAAAAAAACAAATCTGGGAAGTCTTGTCCTAGCACTTCTGTCCATTAGATGGAGCATGGTAAAATGGGAAGAGCATGGGCTTTGAAATCAGGTTCAAGTCTGTTATGTAGCCTTGGCAAATTACATAACCTTTCTGAGCTTTGACTGTTTCATCTGAAAGCAGGGATAGTTATAAATAATTCACCAGGATGCATATTAGTATTAGTGTGTATAAATGTTTACTATTATGACATCTTCCTGGGTCCTGCTACTTTCATAATCTACCTATATGAAGAGTTTGGAGCCTCCCTAAAACATTATTCAAATTGGCTGGACATGGCTTTATATATTAGTGTGTCCTCATAGTTTTTAGATGACTTTCATGGATCTTATCTCATTTAACCTTCATAAAAACCTTCTGAAGTTAGCTACTTTTTATCCTGGGGAAGAAAACAAGCACACTCCTTTACTCTTCTCTATCTAATCCAAGTTTCTCAGAAGTATAATCTATATTGGTTATGTTACCCTTCCTTGATTCACTGTATCTGATGTCTCCATTCATCTCTCCATTATCTTACTGAAAAAGTCTCCACTGTCATTACTTCCCCTATTTCAGATTCTCTTCCCTTCTTTTTTGTGACTTTGTTCCTTATTCTTCCCCTACATCTATGCCACTCTTTCTCTGTTTTCCTCTTGGTCTGCTTCCACTATGGGTCCTTTAAATATTAATGTTTAGGCCCACATGCTACATGCATGTCTTTCCTCCCCTCTCAAAACTCTTCAGTAACTCCCAGTCACCTACATGGTAAAGTTGAAGTTCTTTAACATGATGTCCTACTCTCAGTCTGGCCTCTACCATCCTCTTTTTGCCACTTCCTACCTCCAGCTCTAATGGTCAGTGAATTTAAACTCCATGCACCTTTTCCATATATAATAGTGAATCAGTTTTTAAACTGACCAATTTCTAGTCATCCTTCGGCTCAGTTGTCACCACTTTGAGGGAGCCTCCTTAAATAAGATACTCCTTAGTTTTTATTATAATGCCCTCTGCATGTATTTATCCTATTATATTTTAATTTTCTGTTTATAATCTAATTGCCCACTATGCTGAAAATTTTTGAGCACAGAAAGTGTGCCTGCACAATATTTGGTATAAACAGGAACTCAGTAAATGTTCGAATGAGTGGTTTTGATTCCAATTGCTGTTTCCTTTTCCCTTTCTAGCTATGTGATTTTGTCCCTTCAGTTCTCTGTAAATGAGAAATTGAGATAGATAGCTAAAGCTCCTTCTGATTCTAGAATAACTTCATTTTTAAATAAGGTACTCACATTTCTGAAAATCATTTACTGAAGTCCAATATAAGTTAAAGCAGTGACTGACTTTATTTTGTCAGAAATGTTAATGAAGGGTTATCTGTCATGTTCTCCTCATACTAGTTTCCCAGTAATATTTGTTGACTTAAATTCATATGTTGGATTGAACTTAATAGTGAATAAATTTATTTAATTAGATTAAATTTACTGTATGAATATTGAATTAAATTCACTAGTACAATTATTAATATTCACTAGTGATGTCTTAGGGTATAACATTTAAAAATATATATGTTTGGGCCTCCCCTGGTGGCGCGGGCGGTTGAACGCCGCGCTATGAAGCTGTCTGTAGCCTCTGCAGTGCCGGTTCGATCCCAGCCAGCCGGGGAGGGTCCCACATGGCGCAGCAGACCTCTCCTGTCTTCCCTGCTGCTCCCCTCAGCAGTGTATTTCGTCAGTCTGCCTGTTCTGTTCCCTGCTCTGTCTCTGGTGAATCCTCTCACCTTCCCACGCATCTGGCCTGTACCCCGGTTCGTGTATGAATAAATAAATATTTTTTAAAAAATAAAAAAAATATATATATGTTTTTGATAGGACAGACACAAGTTAACAGTTTAATCAGAAAATGTGGGCTTTACAGCATGTGTTTGGGCTGTTTTAAATTTTGTCAGCATTTTAGCAGTCTTCAGCAGGAGGTAGTTGTAGTCATTGAAAATTTGTTTCATTTTTAAACATACTATACATGCATTGTTTTGATATGTAGTATAGGCACCTTTAAGTTTGTGTGTTAATCATCATTATACCGTAAAGCTTTGGATATGGAAGGCATCCGGTCACTATTTGCTGAATGAATGTGTAAATACAGTAAGGCTGCTTTCCACATTCTCACCACCCCCTTGTCAGCTTTTTGGCTCATCATCATAGCTGTGAACATCAGGATTAGCACTTAACAGCAATAGCAGATATTTCTTAGCATTTGCTATGTCTTTCTTTCTTTGGATTTAACTCAAAATTTCCCTGGAATGTAAATGTAGGTAGATACATTTTTTTGTATAAACTCATTTCCTCAACGCAAGTAGAATAATTTGGGAGTGAATTCATATAGATGAACTTAAAGTTTTTGCAAACTATAGATCTTAAGTTTCAGGTAGTTTTATTGGGAAGTTAGACTGCCTGCAAAATAAATCATTAGAGAACGTGACACAATAATAAGAAAAGGTCAAGTATGAACAAAGTTGATAACTAATGAAAGAATTATTGCAAGTATAATAAAACTTGTATAAAAATGGTTTGTTTTTCGTTTTTTTTTTTTTGGTTTGGTTTTTAAAGACCATAGTGCTTAATAAATGTAAAAAAAAATACTTATTTTAAAAGATGATGTGGTTTTGGGGGGCCACATAATTGTGTTTGCAGATCTTGCATTACGATGTTTGGTTGAAACCTATGCTGCCAGTTGTGAGGAAAGAAATGAAGAACCTTTAGCCAAACGCATAAAGAATGATAAAACAGAAAAAGAAATTAACACTTTGGCCAAGGAAGGAAATGAAAAAAATGTCCCAGAGAAGTGGACCCCTGTGGCTGGCATTGTTCTTGCACTCTGTTGTCACCACAGGTGTGATTGGAGACATTATGTGGGCAAAGAATATTTCAAGGCTCTAGGCCTTGGAGCAGTGGAATTCCACTATTTCCAGCGAATGAGTAGTTGGGCGACTTGTGGGATGCGGAAAACGTCTTTGGAAGCTTCAAATATCACCACAACGAGAAAAGACCATCAGAATGATGAGAGTGAAGAACATGATGATGGGGGATACAGCAGAATCACAGATGACAGTGCTGAGAATTTGCCTGGGTAAGTGCCTATTTGAAATGCACAACATTGGGGCAGAAACACGTTGTTATTACTGTGCTTTCTTCTTAGATGAATACTACCAAAATTTTATTCATGGAAATACATTTTACCATACAACTTTAGATTAAGTTAAAACACACAGGTTTTTATTTTGGTCATAAATGGAAGCATGTGGAGCATGGTACATAGCACCGAGTTTATTATGGGCTATTTAGCAACTTATCAATAAATAGAAGTGACTGAAATAATTTTCTATGAACTTTCACAAAATTTTAATGTGTATGTGTTTATTCAATTCAGGTTTCTTACTGTTGAAGAAAAGAAGAAAATAGGACATCTTTGTAAATTACTGATCGACCAAGGCCGAATCGAGTATTTACAGCAGAAGGGATTCAGTCCTGCACTACAGTACTATACAGACCCTCTGGTGTCTTTGGAAAATGTGTTGTTAACTGCTTTACCAAATCATTCTTCATTACCAGAAACAACTGTTTAATGGAAAGAAATTTTTGAACATCTGTCTTCTACCAAAAAATACCAGAAAAACATTTTAAATTGTATTTTTATATTCATGGAAATATAATTAGCAGATAATATGAACTTTAAAAAATGTGGCCTCAATCAACTTTGATAATAGCTTTGTTTTTTACTTTAGAAGTCTGAACATTAGAGAATTCACCAAATTCTCAAAGTAATCCTCTTCTAGTATCTGTTCAGCAGGACATCTTGAATCATATTATCCATCAGTATTTATAGAGATTGGTGATGTAGTCGAACAATCAACTTGGTTATCTGAAACACACATAAGATGTCAACATATAACTGGTACATCAACTTTTGATTTTCATTAATTTTGGAAATATTTTCCTTTGATTTTATTTAATACTTCTCCAGTTCAAGATGTAATGAAAAATTGTCAGTTTGTAACAAGGGCAAATCTGAGAATTTCACTTATGTATGGATTTTTTTTATGCAGATATGGAAGGGATAATCAATTGTGATATTTTTCCCACACAAAGAAATTCAGAGATGTTCACAATTAATGAAATTCATCTTCAGATTTACAGAACATTGCCTAAATTTAACTATTACTAGATTGGTCCATGATGAATACCAAAATCGAAGAGATGTTTTCAAAGAAAGAAAACATGGTTTTACTTCATTTGTTTCTATTGGATAATCACCTAGTATGCCACCTGTAATTTCTAAAAAGATACTTATAAGCCTTATTCACAAATTAAATTGAAATTTGCAAATAACTTTTGAAGGTGATTAGGTATCTCATATTCTTTTAGCAGACCATTTCTACATTTATAAGTACAATATAGACACATTCTTTCCTGTGTGTGGAAATAAGTTAAAGCAGAAATTAGATATTGAAACCAAAAACTTTGTCACATTCAGGCCTCATTTAACTCATAACCAGTTTCTATGCACAAGCAAATATTAAACCAAACATATGGCAGGACTGTTATTCTTTTCTACATCTGATCCATTATTTCTCTTTATTTGTGAAAACTGTCTTAATCATTGGTACATTTGCCAAGATAAAGATACAGAATTGCTAAATTTAGATATTAAGTTATATTCTTTGCTAACTTTTTATTCTGTAGGCCTATTATTACATGAATAGTAACTTAAAGCTTAGCCTCTTTGTAATTCCTAACCTTCCTACTTTAGTTTTGTCTCACATTTTATGAGACTACCTAGGTTCAAATTCAGACTGTATCAATTCTTAGCTGTGTGACCACAGGCAAATTACTTAATCTTCATGTGCCTCAGTTGCCTCTTCAAGTGGGGATGATGATGGTAATGATACCTACCTCACAAGGTTGTTGTGAACATCAAGTGTAATACATATAAAATGCTTCTGGCAATTCAGAGCTCACAGTACTCAATAAATATTAACTATTATTACTAGTACTAATTCTTGAATCTTTTTTCTTTCTTAATTCTTGAATCTTTTAAATATAGGCAGACTTGATTTTATTATCTCTTTTAAGTTGTAACTTTTTCTTTTGTTACAAGTTTTTCAAATATTATTAAAGTAAGGTGGTTTGATTGTTTTTAAGTTGTTACTCATGTTCCCCCATCAAGAGAATGTAAATGAAGGTAGTACACATTCATTAATTAGCCTGATTTACTAGGTCAGGCAATGTCAGTTTGCATCATACAATCTATTTTGCATTATTCAAAAATTTATGCCTAGAAATAAAATATTCTACAACAGGTATAATATCAGTTATGGTTCATTAAATATAAATACACATGAAGTTTATACTGACATGGTCCTGTGACCCATTAAGCTTAATGATATCTTTAATGGGAAGAAAAACTTGCCCTTCAACATATCAGACATAGGTCACGATTATTGTTTTGTCAACTTAGCTTATTTTTGTTAAAATATCATGAGAAAGTGACTGTATTTGCAGTTTCAGCAAATCCCTTCTTGAACTTAAAATTCGTCTATATAACTACCGTGTCCCGTATGTCCCACACATGCATCAATTTACTGTTAAAATGAAACTTCTGGCTCTGTCACCAGATCCTGCCCACCAAACTGTGCTATATTTCCTCTTCTCAGCACCACCATCCAGTCAGTTAGTCTAACCAAAAATTGAGGTTTACCCTGAACTATTTATCATCTTCATTTGATCATCAGTTCTACCTCCTACTTGTTTTGTACATATTTATTCTCTTGTTTTTCAAAAGTAGTCCCCAAACTGAAACACCTTTGTCTTCCTCTGCTCTATAGTCCGTGTTTTTGGTTCTATGACCTTACCACAACAGAGATCCAATCACCATTTTCTAAACATGCCCCATTGGACGTTGGGAAAAAGTCCCTCTAGCTGAAAAATTATTTGCTTGCTCAGATTATGCTCATTCTTTAACACTATTTGAAGATGTAAGTAAAATTTACCTTTTAACTCAAAAACTCAACATTTTAGTGAGTTATAAAATCATGATTTCTATTAGTGTACTATTGTTTTACTTTTTATTAACAGAGTTGTGCTTTGTCTTCTTCCCCTAATCTTGGTTTAAACTAAAGGTTTTCCTAACCTACTTAAAAAAAATGGTTTTAAATTATCAGAGGCTAAGTGACTGAAATTTGTATCAAATCTCACATTTTCATTATTGTCAAACTCTCAGTTTTTTTTATTCTAGGCAATAATTTTTTTCTATTTGTGGATAGTAAATGAAGAGGAAATAACGGGAAGGTGGTGTTCATGACAGTAAAAGAAATAACAAACTGATAGGAGGAGACAGTGAAACTTCCAGAATCATATCGAAATTCACTTGTTTATGCTTCAGAGCACTTGCCCGAAGAAATTTATTTCCTCATTCCACTTGAAAGACATTGAATATCTTAACAGTGTCTCCAAACTTTTATCAAAATAGTGAAGCAATTTAAATTTTATTTTTTTCTCCCACACTATTGATTAAGAGAACAGAGTTTGACCAAAAAAAAAAAAAAAAAAAGGATTAATCTATAAGGGAGTTAATCTATATATACACATTCCTTTATCCAAAAAAAAAACAAAAACCCATAACCATTAAACCTGTGTTAAATACAAATCTCATACCTGCTTTTCTTCGTGACTCCTGTATATATATGTGCATAAACTGAAGGCCAAATAATTCCTGTTCCTCTTCATCTGTGCTTTCCCTGGGAGGAAGTGATACTTCCAATTTCAGTGGGTTGTCTCTGAAGTTGACAAACCTAGCAGTTCACCAAAAAACAGTATTTTTATAGGTGCCATAGAAGTATAATTTTATTCCCTGGAGAAAGATCAAATGATAAATACTAAATTACTCTTTTTTATTTAACTGCTTCAATAACTTAACATCTTGGTGAGATGTGATATAGCTCAAGAAACTTTAAGTTTCTTTCCTAAAGGAAAAAAATACTAGCTTTAGACAACTTATTTTCAAACTTTGTGAAAACAACTATTAATCCATAGTATAGATTTAGTATGGTGCAGTTTAACTTCAAGAGGGAATCTAATGCATCTTAAATATATTATTAATGCTATGAAGTTCAAGCTTCTCCATATTTTATAGACTTACAGTCTCATTTGTCACTTTATCTTCACCATTGTAATACAGGGCTCACTAGTTGCTGAATAAGTGAAGGAATGAATGATTTTGCTATGAAAGTTGTGGGATTTAATTTGGACTCATGTTCACTGTCAGCAAATTATATTTTGAAAGGAAGACATGTGTGAGTTCTAATAGTTAACTTACTAAGTTCTACACTCTATGTAGAACATAATTGACTTGTCCATTTGTGATACTTACAAGGAAAATAGTCACTATGTTATGCTTTTGGTTTTTATATCATTGATGAGGTTTGTTAGCAGTTATAAAGATGATTTTCACAAAAATATCACCCAAAGAGCGGTCCTTAAAAGTTGGCAAGTCCCAGTACTGCTTTAATATTGAGGATTCTTTCTTGAATAATTATACCAATATTAACTATATCTATAAATTTCAGAATTCTAGAGTTGGAAAAAATTTTTATTCATTTCTATGAGTGAGAACTTAAGTCTAGTAATAGTAATTTTTCTATATTGTTCTGCAGCCAGAAAAGAATATGTCAATTTTGTGACTACAACTTTTTACCTCAGATTGGTCATCTCTTCCATGCACACTGGAATATCTTCTAATTTATTGTTGGTGAGAACAAGAGTACCCAGATTTTTCATATTGCTGATAGTATCTGGTAAGCATGTTATTTCATTCCGTTGCAGCCATAATGTATGCAGGTTTTGCATTCTAAAGAATTAAAAGAGGTTGCTGTGATTAATCACACACAAAACGAAAACCCTGGTTCTTATTAAATTCAAAATCAAATAAATGTCATCTTTCATAACATCTCTTTTAACCAGTATACCTATTGAATTAGCTTACTACTTCATATTGCCTGCAGGGAAATTGCATTGGGGAGTAAATCTCTATAGTACAGCTCTTAACATATGCCGGTCGAAATGAAATCAATGTATTTAAAAACAATTTTTTTAAAGATTTATTTCTATTTATATTCTTGTATTTGCATACAAGAACTAGGGTGAAGGACAAAGGTACAGGAGGTGAAAAGATTCACCAGAGACAGAAGGGGAAGCAGAGCAGGTAGATCTACTGAAATACACTGCTGAGGGAAGCAGTGGGCAGGTGAGACAGGAGAGGTCTGCTCCGTCATGTGGGTCAGCTGTCTGGCCGGGGATCTAACTCATGTTGCAGTGGCTGGCAATAGCTTGATAGCACTGAGACTTTAACTCCTGTGCTACCAGGAGACCCCTGCATTTTAAAATTATTCGCCGTTCTCATAGAATTTCTTAAAGAACTGCAATAAGAGAGAATCTGAATTGGAATCTTTTTTTTTTTAAAGATTTATTAATTTATTTATTTATTTATACAAGCACTGGGTACAGTCAGATGCACGGGAGGGTGAGAGGATTCACCAGAGCCAGAGCAGGGAACAGAACAGGCAGAGTGACAAAATACACTGCTGAGGGGAGCAGTGGGCGCAACAGGAGAGGTCTGCGCACCATGTGGGACCCTCACCAGGGCCGGGGATCGAACCAGCGCTGCAGAGGCTGCGGACAGCTTCACAGCCCAGCGCTCAACTGCTGCGCCACCAGGGGAGGCCCTGAATTGGAATCTTAAGAATAAAATCAGAAATGATTAATATGCTCAACTAAGGTTAGGTAAGAAAGTATAGTGGTTACCAGTGTGGACTCTGGAACCAGGCTGCCTAGTTTCACATCCTAACTTGAACACTTTCTGTGATCTAGAACAATTTAACTAACATCTCTGCTGGAGTTTCCTCACCCATTAGTAAAATACACAGAAATTGCTGGCATGCATTGTTATTGCTGCGGCATGCTCTCAATTTGTTGAAGTTAGTGTTTAATCTCCCAAAACCCTTTTACTCGTTTGGAGTCAATTAAAATATTCTATTAAAAAATAGCATGTTAAGTACTAAATGGATATATGTGATTGATTATGTTTGGGGTCCCTTTTGTTTTATCTCTTTGATCAAAAATGCTTCAGCACATCTATTGTAACATAAAAAGGTATTCCATTTACCTTTCTATAGTATCAGGAAGTTGTACAAGACTGTTGCTTCCCATATCAAGCCACTCCAGGGAAGGCATGTCCAGCACAGCAGGAGGGATTGTAGTAAAGCTGTTCATACTCAGATCAAGGTGAATAAGTTTCACCAAATTGCTGAGCTGAAGGGGGAAGACAAGATTTTCCCACATAAATGACCACAGTGTAAATAGTTAAAACACATCGGTAAAGGAGATATATCACTTCAAGGAATATTCATATTATGCATGGACTTTATGAAGTATAGTAAATGAAGTCCATAACAAATTTGAATTAAAGGAAAACCAAGAAACTTCCAGATTAATGAAAAACTCTCATAGACAGTTAATCTATTCAAAGCAAATATACCGTCCAAAACCTGTGATGACTGTTTTCATTATAAACAAGTGCATAGTTTCATTAAATAAAACTATTATAAAAGAGGAAGAGAGGCAAGAACTATGTTATACTTGGAAGAACAACAATTATTAGTGACATGTTTACTAGTTTGGGGAGGAAAAGGGGATCTTCTTACCCGGACAGAGTGGGAGAAGGGAACAGTCTATTTTATTTTGATATTTATCATTTTTCCTAAGTTTTATCTTGCAAAGTCAGTATTTGCAAGGCAAAGCACCATGGAAATTTCCTTTGCTGATTCTCAAAGCATCAAATGTGTTTGAAAAGAAATACAAAATGTCTATAGCCCTAAAATCAACTTGTTTTTACCAACAACAAAACAGTCTATTCATTCAAATTTTGAAGGCATTCAAGGCCTGTTGTCTTGGTTTTACTTGATAGCGCCCAGGAAACTACAGAAACAAACAAGATTCACTTTGGCCCTCAAGAAGATCACAGGTTAGCCCATAAGCCATGCCAGTTCCATAAGAGGTATCTTTTATGCTAAATAGAGCTTTGTCTAATTAAAAGCATGCATTATTATACTTAGAGTAATGGGAAATAGTTTTCACTAAGTATTTTCTGAAGTGGCTGCCCTTTTTTAAGTCTTATTTTTAACTATCACACAATTGAGAAGTTAAAAACTGAAAAGTAGATAGAACATATAATCATAGGTGTTTACATATTTCTGACCTCTGGTGGAAGATCGCTTATGTCTCTGTTAACCGCAAGTTCTAGTTTCTCCAAGCTGGCACAGTTACTCAGTTCCTTGGGGACAGTTCTGATTCTGTTGTAACTAAGAATCAGTTCCTGAAGCCTAGTCAGCAATCCTACAAAAAATAAAACACAATAGAGGGCAGATGGTTATAAAACATTTCCAAATATGAAGTATTACAACATAACTTGCTTCCCAGTTTCCTGTTGACGATTGACACCTCAGAGTCTTAATTTTTCTCAATAGGTGTCCTTTCCTTTCTTCAGACAAGGGACAAATTTATCAGTGCTATAGGCAAAAAAACATTCTTTTCCCCTTCTAATTTATCTATATTATTACTATCACTAATTTTCCATTTGGGGGATTTTCTTGTTTAAGAAATCTTCATAATTTTCTTTCTTGCCTTTAACCTATTCTCTAGGAAGAATAACTGAACAAACAGTACTATTTCCAGAATCTACACCGTACTTCCAAAGAGACTTTTCTTGCAGAGAAATCACATCTTGAGTCACCTCAGTAAATCAGAAGCTTGGATGCTCTTGGAAGCTTCCATTTAGATTATGATTAAATTTTTCTCAAGACTCAATCAGGGCTATATTAAGATGAGATCTTTATTTCATGTATATATAAAAAAAAACCTCATTAAAAAGTATATCTACAGATAAATAAAGTAGCACATGCATGAAGCAATCTTCCTTACCAATTCCTCGAGGTATCTCTGAAATTGTGTTTCGAGATAAATCTAACACAATGAGATTCTGGAATCTTCCAATGAATTCAGGAATTTTTAACAAACCAGTTCTATGAAGTTGCAATTCCTGGAGCTGATTCAGTTTCAGTAGAGAAGAAGGAAGGGTCTAAAATCAAGTAAAGAAGTGATAGTCACAGTATTACTTAAATTATTTTAGTTATGCCACACTGAAGTGCAATTATAGAGATATTTGATTTATAAAAGAACTTCAAAATACTTTTTCCTTAATGGCTGATATTTCCAAATGTTTTGTGTTCTTCTAAGTTTTAGAAAAACTCTACTTTGTGTGTTGGGTCGGGGGGCTGGGGAAGAAGGGAAGCAAAGCTTCAAATCCTAATCATAATAGAATAAACAACAATAAAATTTTAGTTAATAATGCACGTACATAGAATTATGTCCTAAAGATTCTGTTTTATTAGGCTTTTCTAGAGTACAAATGCTACTGAAGTGACTATATGGTGGTTAATTGAAATCACAGAGAAGCAAAAAATCATTTGAATCACTAATTCAAACTTGGGCCTCCCTGGTGGCACAAGGGATTAAGCACCACACTATGAGGCAGTCAGTCACAGCCTCTGCAGCATGAGTGCAATCCCAGGCTGGCCAAGGAGCAACCCATATGGCACAGCAGACCTCTCCTGCCGCCCGCTGCTCCCCTCAGCAGTGTACTTCATTCAATCTGCCTGTTCTGCTCCCTGCTCTGTCTCTGGTGAATCCTTTCCCCACCCCTTTTTCCCCCCTCCCCCCACCCTGCATCTCTGGCCTGTACCCCAGCTCTTGTGTGAATAAATAAATAAAAATCTTTAAAATAAAAAAATAATAATTCAAACTTCCCTTTGGGTTTTGAAATATAAGATTTTTAAGGAGGAATTGTTTAACTTAAGGATTTTATGAGTTTCAACCATTCTGAACTGTCTTTTCCCATTTAGTCTAAAATAGCCAAAAGATGGGCCTCCCTGGTGGTGCAGCGGTTGAGCGCTGGGTTGCGAAGCTGCCCACAGCCTCTGCAGTACTGGTTCGATCCCCGGCTGCAGGGTGAGGGTCCCACATGGCGCGCAGGCCTCTCCTACCGCCTGGTGCTCCCCTCAGCAGCGTAATTCATCACTCTGCCTGTTCTGCTCTCTGCTCTGGTGAATTCTCTCACCCTCCCATGCTTTTGACTGTACCCAGTGCTTGTATGTATAAATAAATGAATGAATGAATGAATGAATGAATAAATAAATATTTTTAAAAATAAAATAAATAAAATAAAATAGCCAAAAGATGCGAAGTCCTAGTTAAATATCCCTCTATACATGAAAACAAACTTTAACCCAAGGGATAGAGGTCTTTGTGTAATTAAGCAGTTGTGTGTGTGTGTGTGTGTGTGTGTGTGTGTGTGTGTGTGAAGAGAGGAGAGGAAAAAGGAAGGAAAGAAGAGGGAGGGAAAGAAAGAGAACTCCCATGTTTGTAAAGTTTTAACTGAGCACTTGCTTTGGAAAAGCTACATGATTTTTGTTAGACGTAGATGGCATCATTTTTATAGAAAATTAAAAATTGCTTATTAGAAATATCAGGAGAAATCTTACAAATGATTAGGCAGAATTGAAGCAAATTGACTCCGTTTTTGCAAAAAAAAATGTAAAGTTATGTATGCTTCTTTTCACTTGATAGTATTGTTCAAATTGATTAGATTATTAAAATTACAATTTCTAAGTATTTCAGACTTAATCACAGTCTCAGTATCATTAAATCAAATATTCCTATAAAGCTTACCTTCCATTCCTCTTTTTCTATCCTCAAAATAACTCTTCCATCTTCCCTGGTGACCTTTTCTTTTAGCTTCGTGAAGTTTACTCGTTCTTCCCAGATTTTCACTAGCCTAAGAGATCAAGAAATCATTTTAATTCATAGGTAATGACATAGGTAGCATTCAGTTTTATATATTTTAAAAAATGACCCATCAAAAACAACTGAAGAGGCCCGCAGCCTCTTCAGCACCAGTTCGATCCCCGGCCACCAGCGAGGGTCCCACAGAAAAAAACAAACAAACAACAACAACAACAACAAAAAAAACAACTATTTGATCAATAGTATCTGGAAATCAGAAAATATGTGATTAGAGTCACATATGCTCTATTTTTACATTTTTAAAAAGCATGATTGTCCAGAATTTTATAACAGCTTTATTGATATATAATTCACATACATAAAAGTTGTCCTTTTAAAATATACAATTCTGGGGTCTCCCTGGTGGCCTAGGGGTTAAGTCTCAGCACTATCACCGTGACCCACATATGGGGCAGCAGATGTCTCCTGTCTCACCTGCTGCTTTCCTTAGTAGTGTATTTCAGTAGATCTGCCTATTCTGCTCCCCACTCTGTCTCTGGTGAATCCTCTCACCTCCCACCCCCACACTTCTGGCCAACACCCCAGTTCTTGCATACATAAATAAAATAAATCTTTTTAAAAAACCAATAATATAAAGCTATAAAATTGACCAGCAAAAAGTTTTCTATTTCTATAGCAGAAAAATTATCATGTACAGAAAGATAAAAAAGTTAAGAATTGGGGCTTCCCTGGTGTTGCAGGGGTTAAATCTCAGTGCTGTCAAGCTATCCCCAGCCACTGCAGCATGAGTTCAATCCTGGGCCAGTGAGCTAACCCAAATGCTGCAGCAGACCTCTCCTGTCTTGCTCATAAATTCATATTTCAGAACAAGTACAATTAGTTGTCCTGTTCCCTAACCTTGAACATTAAAGGATTTGCCAAACACCTGTTATGAGCCAAATACTATGCTAGGCTTGTGGATACAAAAGTCTCTGTCCCTATTGAGTCTACAGCGAGACTACCTATTATTAGACAAGTCTCTTTTCATCTTTACAATGATTCCTAAATTCTTCCTGAGTCTGAAACCTACACTTTGCAAACTGCTTATAGAAAATAGGGACTAGACATGAATTTTGGTCTAAGTGTGAAAAAGTATCTTTCTAAGTATCTTTCTAAGTGTGAAAAAGTATCTTTCCCTCTAAATTCCTTAAGCAATATCTGTTTGGTTTTTTTCGCTCAGATTGTCAGAAAACTCCACAAATTCTATCTAATCTTAATGATCTTATGGGTGTACATAACTTTTGGGGTTTAGTTCTCCCACCAATCATAATATAGTCAGGAAGCCAAAAATGAAGCAGTAGGGAAAAATAATGCTCTCACACAGAGATAACTAGAAGCTGTTGAAATTAAGTGCATCTACTTGTTGAAGAAGAAACAGAAATAGTTTCCACTCTTCTGATAACACAGTGAGGCTGAGCTGTGATTTGTAGAAGTGTAGCAGTCACCATGTGATGTCAAGAGAAGTGAATCTGAGAGCCAGACTGACACCCTGAAAACATTATTGATGGCGATAAAACAAAACTGAGTCTTCAAAGCTGTCAAAGCTCTGGAATTACCTCACTTCAGGACTCTCTTATCCTTAAGCCAGTTTTAGTTGAATTTTCTGTTGTTTATCAACTGATACATCAACATTAAATGTTTAGGAAGAGACTAAATGAATGGAAATTATAGGGGGAATGTGGAATCAATGAAGAAAGGGAATATCCTTGCAAAATTAGTAGAATACTTTGGAGACCTTCAACTAGGAAGGTAGACAGATATCAAGAAGACAGAGAAAATGAGTCAAGCTAAGTATAGACCAAATCACAAAATTAGGTGACCCACGGGGAATGGGTAGAACTCAGCTATTCAAATAGGTGAGAATCTACAGTACCATCTACTGGCAGGTATTTTAGATCCTAGGGGATATAATGCAAAACAACTACTAAAAAGTAAATTAAACGATAATCAAATGTTGATCAATGAGGGCCTAGGGCAACTACTATTTTCACATGCAGAGACTTGTATTTGTGTGTGTGTATAGAAGATCTGGGCGTGTGGGCCAGAGGTACAGGGGGTAAAAGGATTCACCAGAGACACAGTGGGGAGCAGAACAGGTAGATTTACTGAAATACACTGTTAAGGAGAACAGCGGACGAGACAGGAGAGGTCTGCTGCGCCATATTGGTTGTCTCCCTGGTGGGGGATTGCACTCAGGCCCTAGTGCTGAAACTTACCCCTAGACCACCAAGGAGGCCCCAGAGGCTTGTATTTTTGAGGCCCTATCACATAACCATATTTTGAATAAAGTCAGGTATTTCCTTTAGGTATTTTTTTACTTTTCAGTAAATAAAAAATCTATCAAATTCAGTAATATAACATTTAATAAGTGCCCTTTTCTGTAACAATGATGTTATGCATTTTCACTAATCTAGAATAACAAGCATATGAGAGCATACTTCTGTTTAAATTCCTTCTCTGGCTTCAGGTCATCACTATGTTTCTTGATTCTTTTTTCCCAAGCATCCTTTACAGCATTGACAGCTCCAGTGCAAACCATATTTTCTGACATGATTTCTCCACATTGTCACCGAATCACCAAATTCATTAAGTTCTGAATAGCTGATTCATAGGTGCTGTCTCAGAAAGGACCTAATTGTACCAGAGGATAAAAGCAACATGTTTCAGAAAGTTCACTGAGGATGACAATGATCAGAATGGCTTATATTTACAGGACACTTTTCATGATCCCGAAACTATTTTACACATGTTACATGCCATTAATAATCCTAAAAATACTATGATGTAGGTACTTTCATTGTCTCTATGTACAGATGAGAAAACTAAGCTTTAAGGAAGATGACTGACTTATCTCGTACATGGCAGAGGAGCAAACTGATGCCAAATCTAATTCCTATGTTACTATGTAATTCACAGTAATGAAAAGCTGTAACTAGTCAACATGTTCAATTATAGGAACATGGTTAATAATGGAGATATATATGGATATATAAAATGAGACAGGCATATTGGGATATCTACCTATATATACAGGTTGGAATTCAGTTAAGTAATAATATATTGAAATTGTTTTCTTTTGTGTAAAATAAATGGTTTATGGGCAGAGACAATATTGAGAGTATGGCCTGAATCTCAGAAATGAGAGTTAAATCAAAATAAAGGGATGATTATATAAATTGCAATAGACCCATTTAGTGAAATATTCCTCACCTTATCAATAATGGCATTGACATTTCACAAAATTACATGAATAATAATGGAAAGTTAATTCACAATGGAATTATTTCCTTCCAAATTCAGGAAATGGAAACTGTCTACAATCATTATCTACAATCATTACTTCTATTCAGCATTATCCCAGAGTGCTATAATGCAAGGAAACTAAGTAAAAAAGAGTAAAGTTTGGAAAGGAAGAAGTGAAATTTGCAACAGCATGGAAAAACAGGTACTCTTATACACTAAACAAGTGGTATATGTTGTAATATTCTTTATGGAGAGAAATTTGATATTGTCTATCAAACTTAACAAAATACACATTGATACTTGTTGAAATTTATAGTGTAAACATTACCAAATATTCTTATTCTTCTTGGTGCTCAAGTGGTATTGTTTCTTTTTTTTTTAATAGAGGCATGTTTTATTTATTTATTTGTTTGTTTATACATGCACTGGGTGCAGTCAGAAGAACGGGAGGGTGAGAGAATTCACCAGAGCCAGAGGGAGCAGAGCAGTCAGAAGGACCGAAGTACACTGCTGAGGGGAGCAGCGGGCGGCAGGAGAGGTCTGCGCGCCATGTGGGACCCTCCTCAGGTGGCCGGGGAGCAGCCGGGGATTGAACCGGCGCTGCAGAGGCCACGGGCAGCTTCGCAACCCAGCGCTCAACTGCTGCGCCACCGCCACCGGGGAGGCCCTCAAGTGGTATTGTTTCTATTGGGTATATAGACCTACAATTTGAATTGTTGGTTGATAGTGTATGTGAATGCTCAAATTTATAAGACAGAGCCAAATTATATTCCAAAGTAGTATAGAAATATCTTTGAAAAAGGAAAAAAGAAATATAAGATAACCACTGAAAAGTAAATTCTGAAAATAGTTACAATGGCTGCTGTTAGGGTGATAGAGAGAAATGGGATGTAGTATAATGCTTTTCATTAGTAACCTCCAAGTACTGGTTTCTTGAAACTTAAATGTATGTGGTGTGTGTGAACAAGAGAGACAGAAACATACAGAAAAAGGGGGAAAAACTGTCCAACTCTAACTCAAAGAAATAAATGCACTCCTGTGTTTACTGCAGCACCAAGTTACAGAAACAACCTAAGGGTCCAAAGACAGATGAGTGGGTCAAGATGTGGCTTATACACGCAATAGAATACTACTCAGCGATTAAAAAAACATGAAATCTTGCCAACTGTGACATGAAACTGAAGGGGATTATGCCATGCAAAATAAATCAAAAGGAGAAAGACAAACACCAGATAATTTCCCTCATATGTAGAATACAGAAAACAAATTAAGGGAATAGACCAAAACAAACCCTTGATATCTGGCTGCAGAACTGAGATGACCAGAAGGGGAGAGTATATAGGTGGGAGTGGGAGCCAGAGGAAAGGGGCCCTATGAACTGTGTAGAGGGCTCTTAGGACTTTGGTGATGAGCATGGTGTGATAACGTACATTTGTGAGGTGTGATCCTAAACCCCTAAAACATGCAGTGTTAGAAATCAACATTTTCTCAATAAACAGAATTTTAAGAAAAACTCTGTTACAGAAGAAAACATATTTAAAATTTCAATTGCCAATATGCAGCAAATTATTAAGAGCAGGTTTAAACAATGCATGCGAAAGTTACATAGGAGCACATTGTGAGATCATAGGCCACCAAGAAACCTTGGTGTGCATATACTCAATCCAACTCCCTGGGTAGATTAGTCAACCTAAAATATATTGTCTCAAATTTTAATAACTGTGGTGTATTTGATGACCCATAAAAAATAATATTTTTCTAAACCAAGAGTCTACATGTAAATGTGTACTTTGCTAGGCATATATAACTATTCATGTGCTAAGTCATTTCCTCTTATGCCATTAAACTTTGACCAGGCATCAGTTTTCCTATAACAGCTAGCAATTTTCCTAGAGGAAAACAAGTCAATAATGATGTGTGCAGTTCTGCCTCCAGCAAGTGACTGTGACCCCATCTTGATCATCAGCATGACAAACAAGTGCAGAGCATGGCAGTGAAGTAAGTGCAGCAATGACACAATTGAGAGTCAGCTCCCCAAAGTCAAAAGAAAGCAAAAGAAATACAACCTTCAAAGAAATGTTTCTTAACTTCCAGGGAAATCAATCTTCCAGAGAAGATTTTCAATTACATGAGTGACTATGAACCCCCAAAGAGGATTTTAAACTCAACCCTAAGTTTCATTGCACATTCCAGAAACACACAGTAAAGGCATCTTCGGAATCCACATACCTGTGAATAATGGGGGGAAAAATGTTTTTGAAAAAATACTTACCATTATCCATGGATGCAGAAGCTGAAATAACCAAAGTTAGCAATAATCAGCTAAAGGGAGAATTGTTTTCAGTGTGACTCCAAATGATGAAAATCCTCAGCAAGACTAACCAAGTGAAATGTAATGTCATCCAGTTCTAATTTTAGTTCACGGACAAAGCTGAGAATAGCAGGACTCACATGGCATGTCTGTGCAAATGATCAGCTGACAATGTATATGAGTGCATTCTGTACACTGCAAGATGCTGTACCATGGCATTCTAAAATGATCGGACGCAACTATTTCTAAGCTCCTGAAAAAGAGTTAGTCTTTCATGGCTTACACATTATGAGTACTTATCAGAATCTAATGAGTCTATTCCAAGCAAAGAAAATTGAAAATATGTAGCTGAACAGCATAAAAATTCCTACCTAGTAAATAGCTCTGTAAATCTGCAAATGTAAGGCACAGATGCCTTAGAAAAAAAGCAAAATGAGGGTATGGATAATTGTTAATGACACAGGAGTCCGAGGCTTCTGCTTGCAAGCTTCAAATTTTATTCTCTCAATTTTTATCTCTTTGGCCTTCCATAAATAGCAGTTGATTCCTGGTTCTTTAAAAAATTATGTATTTATTTTTGAATTGTTAATATATGTGTATGGAACAATTTCAAAAGATAATGAAGCACTTCCTCCCTCTTCTGCCTCCAGCCATTTAGTTTAAAAATAGTTTAGGGCCTCCCCTGTGGCGCAGCGGTTGAGCGCTGGGTTGCGAAGCTGCCCGCGGCCTCTGCGACGCAGGTTCGATCCCCGGCTGCTCCCCGGCCACCGGAGGAGGGTCCCACATGGCGCGCAGACCTCTCCTGCCGCCCGCTGCTCCCCTCAGCAGTGTACTTCGGTTCTTCTGCCTGTTCTGCTCCCCGCTCTGGCTCTGGTGAATTCTCTTTCCCTCCCGTGCTTCTGACTGTACCCAGTGCATGTATAAACAAAACAAACAAACAAACAAACAAATAAATAAATAAAACATGCCTCTATTAAAAAAAAAGAATAAAAATAGTTTAAAAGCACATAAGAGTTGCCCCCTTCCCCCCCACACACACACAAGGTAGGATAGTATGTATATTATTCTATACCCTTTGTTCTTCACTCAATTGAGAAATTATTTCATATTAACATACTTAGAGTTGCATCATTTTTAAAAAAGTTTTATTTATTTATGCATACAAAAACTGGGATGCAGGCCAGAGTTGCGGGGGGTGAGAGGATTCACCAGAGACAGAGTGGGGAGCAGAACAGGCGGATTGACTAAAATACACTGCTGAGGGGAGCAGCGGGTGAGACAGGAGAGGTCTGCTTTGCCATGTGGGTCAGCTCCCTGGCCAAGGATCGAACTCGTGCTGCAGTAGTTGCAGACTGCTTCATAGTGCTGATGCTTTACACCTTGTGACACCAGGGAGGCCCTTAAAGTTGCATCATTTTAAGGCTACATACATTTTGGTGTGTGTGGGGGATGATAAAATATTTAGACACTTCAGCAATATTGCTCCTTTTTTTTTTTTTTTTTTTTCATTCGCTTTACCGGATAAAACTGCGTGCGGTGGGGGGGTGTGCGAGAGCGCCAGCTATCCTGAGGGAAACTTCGGAGGGAACCAGCTACTAGATGGTTCGATTAGTCTTTCGCCCCTATACCCAGGTCGGACGACCGATTTGCACGTCAGGACCGCTACGGACCTCCACCAGAGTTTCCTCTGGCTTCGCCCTGCCCAGGCATAGTTCACCATCTTTCGGGTCCTAACGCGTGCGCTCGTGCTCCACCTCCCCGGCGCGGCGGGCGAGACGGGCCGGTGGTGCGCCCTCGGCGGACTGGGAATATTGCTCCTTTTAAATGCACGTATATTCCATGGGTATTTTCTAATGCTTCTAAAATTAATAAGCTCAGAGAGTTAGGGGGCTGCCCAAGATCCCAGCAAAGAAACCACAGCCAGAACTTACTTACTCTAACTCCCAGTCCAGAGGGTTTGCACCATTGCACACACAGCTTTCTTGAGTATGATCATGAGTCATAGTGGAGGTTCAGGAATCTGTATTAGTATTAAAAAGAATACTAAATTATCAATTAAGAAACAACTTCAGTTATTCTGCTTTTGACACTGTCTATAATTAAATTTTACTTTGACAGTAGTTATCGAAAACCCACAGTACTGCAGAGTGTGAGGCCAGTTGAGAAGGTGCTAAAGTGACCTAAACTAGGAAAATGGCAGGAAGATTGGAGAATTTTGGAGATTTGAGGACATAAGTAGTTAAGAGAGAGGAAGACAAGGGACTGCAGTGAAGATCTGTTATTTGTGGCTGCCCAGAATCATTCAAACACCTTCTCCACAGTTTGATTATGCACTGTATTGGGAATCCCACTTTACCAAAGAATTAGGAAAAAAAGTCAGTTTCCCTCACTAATAGATCGGGGGAACGTGACTAAGATTCTGCTAGTCAAATGCTTTTAGAAGCAAAGAATGTAAGAAAACAGGCTGGTGGCTGGAGTCCATTTTTGCTGGTGTGGACACATATCTCTAAGAGGTATGTGCATACTCATATTCATTACAGCATTATTCCAATGGCCAAGAGGTAGAAGCAACCCAAATATTGAGAGATGAATGGATAAAGAAAATGTGTATACAGCCAAAGGATTCATTCTGGCCATAACCCTGACCACAGCATGTGAGGCTGGTTCTAGGGACAACAACCTTCCCAGGCCAGCTCTGTAATGTAGTTCCTGGAATTATTTCTGTGACCTTACATCCCTTCCTTCTGAAACTTGCCAGGGAGAATTCTATTATTGCATCTAAGGAACTGTTTAAGCTATGACAGCTATTTTAACTATTTCTTGTTGTTTTCCAAAGATAAGCTTATGCTGCTGTTTCTTCTTATACCAGTTTCAGAATCTTCTATTTGATTTTGTATCATAAAATGCTGTGTTCTTAGGCCACTCACTGAGAACCATAAACTTCCCCTTAGCCCATCCTCCCAACATAGTTACATCACAATTTTCGTGATATGAGTAGGTATCTCATTTTATAATGTTTCACAAATTAGCAAATTGTCTTCTTCTATCATTGTATATTTGCCAGTTGCTTGGTGCCCAAGTTTGCATCCTGAGGTCCCAGAGGTGATATTTTTTTGGAATCATTGGCCCTGACCAAGTGCAATTGCAATGGAAGAAGAAAAAGAAAACAAAAGGAAAAAACAAAAGTAGCAATTTTTCCACTGATAGACTATAAATATTCTATTAAAGAATATTTAATGATGTGAGGATGTGTGCATGATACTGTGTTACATTAAAAAAAAATTACAAATCTATATAATATGGTTCCAATATTGTAGTGGAATATTTTTCCTATTGTCTTAGGAAAAAGAAAACAAAAGTAGAAGACCAAATGGAATGACTACGTAAAAAAGGGTGAATTAAAAATGTTATCCACAGGCCTCCCCTAGTGGCGCAGCGGTTGGTCGCTGATCTGCGAAGCTGCCCATAGCCTCCACAGCACCGGTTCGATCCCAGGCCGCGGGTGAGGGTCCCACATGGCGCGCAGACCTCTCCTGCCGCCCACTGCTCCCCTCAGCAGTGTACTTCGGTCCTTCTGCCTGCTCTGCTCCCCGCTCTGCTCTGGTGAATTCTCTCACCCTCCCGCGCTTCTGACTGTACCCAGTGCTTATATAAATCAATCAATCAATCAATCAATCTTAAAAAAAAGATTTTATTTATTTTTATGTAGAAGAACTAGTGCAGGGGATGAGAGGATTCACCAGAGACAGTGGAAGAGAATAGGCAGATCTACTGAAATACACTGCTGAGGGGAGCACCAGGAGAGACAGGAGAGGTCTGCTGCGCCATGTGGGTCACCATCCTGGCCAGGGATCGAACTCATGCTGCAGTGGCTGCTGATAGCTTCATAGTGCTTAGACTTAACCCCTTGTGCTGCCAGGGGGCCCATGTAAATAAACCCTTTATTAATGTTTTTGTATGTGCCTCCAGTTGAGTCTCATTATAAGTACCTTTTAAGCAGGTTGGTGAGGACCCACAGTCAGGCCACCCCATTTCACACTGGGGTTGCCCTGTAACAGTTACATAGTGTACATTTCAAAAGACAACTACATGAATTGTTCCCACAAAAATATGCAGAACCCTTAATGTCTAGTAAAGATGGAATGTCCAGTGAGATTTTTTATTGTATTAGAAAGTATGACAAAACAAAAAGAAACATTGTGGAAATATTATCTATCATCTATTAAATTGAAGTGCATTGCATTTATTCATCAGTGGCTTTAATATTTCCAAGCTTATTAGAGAGGCTAATATAGTAAATGACTGTAGCTGTTTTCAAACGATGCCATCTCTCGGAGACTTTGTCCTGCCTTGTCCCAGCAACCAACCTGGTTCTTCTAATCTTATGCCAGAAACACAATGGGACCAAGGCCATGTTCTTGTGCAACCTGTGAAGTCCTTGGTTTGCTCTGTCACATTTGAATAGCTAACATTTCACACTGTTAGTCATGTTCCAGTTTATATTCCTCCCTGCAGGTTCCATTAACTTAATTGCACCTGCCAGCCACTTAGTCAACTTGCCTTTTTTACGCAGTTTAAACTCTGGCTGCATTTTTCCAGGAAATTCAGTTACTAGGTGTAGGGTCAGGACTGGACACGGAGCAGGTTTTCTGATCCAGCAGACTGGGTGAAGGAGGAGTCAGAGTCCTAGAGCCCTCAGCGGGTTTTCAGGCTTTCATTGGGGTTTACCGGGTACACAGCAGGCAGGGATGCTGGGGGGGCCGGGATGCTGGCAGGCCTCCCAGCCTCAGCAAGTCTTCACTCTGTCTGGGCTCTCTGGTGATCTCTGCTGCTCTGCTCTCTTGTGGTTCTGCTTCTGAGCTTCTGCTGCTTCTTTCTCAGCTTCTCTTTCGGCTTCTTTCTCGGCTTCTACTGGTGTCCCCGTGGCGCCGCCCTTAAAAGCCCCGTCTCAGCCCAGGTGAATCCCATCTACCTATGCCCACACCCTACTCCAGGCGCCCGCCATCAGGCATGCATTCAGGACCGCAAGGATCCATCATCTATCCTGAAGGCAGGAGGGCAGAAAAGCCTGACATTTTTTTCCT